ATTGATACATAATATTTTGCTGTCCTATTTTCATTTATTTTTACTTGGTACAGTATTTGTTTTGCAGTATAGACACAATGCAGGCTGTTAAAGAATGAAGTCAACTAAGCAGTGTGTGAAACACAGCCCCTGGCGATATACATGAAACAAGCTATTAATGGGATATGGTAATCATACTCTATTTGCACTGTTCACAGGTAGCAACACACTCACTGCCAAGATGTTCATGGTTGCAGTGGACCAGGTCATAATCAACCAGCAGCTTCCCTGCTTCACCAAAGCATTCCAGATTATGTTTTACTCGTATTACCTGCACAACATTGACTACCCAGTGGAAGTTGCAGCTACTCTGCAGTTCTTACAGAGGTACGCTCTCAGTGTGCACTACACATTGCTTTAAAGGTAGACACAAACAGTAAAGTTGACCACTCCTTACCAGCTCCATGAGTGAACCCAGCCAACTCTGATGCACTCCGGGAGGAGTTGATGGCCCAGGCCAATGCCCTTAAGCGCCACGATGACCAACTTTCCTCCATGTCAAGTGGTCTGCAGGAGCTGGCTACTCGCCACTAGAGGAGCATGAGCTCCATTCAGGAGCATCTCCAGAGGCTCTCCCTGTCGGATCGTGGACCTGTGCCACCGCCATCCTCCAGCTCTCCAGCCCAGGTCCCTCCAGCATCAGATGCACGTTTGCCCCCTCCAGAACGCTATTCTGGTGCCCCTGGTTCCTGTCGGCCATTTCTTCTGCAGTGTTCCCTCTCCTTCGAGCTACAGCCTTCTGCTTTTCCCACAGAGAGGTCCCGGGTGGCATACATCTTCTCTCTGCTCACAGGCAGAGCTAAAGACTGGGGAACTGCAGAGTGGGAGAAGCAATCCTCCATCTGCTCATCGGTCAAGTTGTTCTCTGATGAACTACGGAAGATCTTCGACCATGTCACACCCAGCAGAGAAGTCGCTCAAGGTTTGTTCAACCTGACGCAGGGAGGGAGGTCCGTGTCTGATTATTCCATTGAATTCCGCACCATGGCAGCTGAGAGTAATTGGAACGCTGCGTCACTCTTTGATGCCTTCTACAATGGACTCTCAGACAGCATCAAAGATGAGTTGGCAGCCCGAGATCTTCCTGCTGACCTAGATGCACTGGTTTCTCTCTCGATTCGCATTGACGGCCGTCTGCGGGAACGGAGAAGAGAGAGGTTCCTGTCTGCCATTCCCCAAGTGCCATCATCCCGTCCATCAGGGCTCCCATCTGAACCAGTCTCTGGCATCCCTTGTGACACTACTGAGCCAATGCAGCTGGGACGGACTCGGCTTTCCACAGCTGAACTACAGCGCCTTCTGCGGGAGAACAGATGTATGTATTGTGGTCATGACGGCCATTTTGTCTCCTCCTGCCCAGTAAAAGACAGGGCTCACCAGTCATCCAGAGGGCGCTGGTGAGCCGGACCATGAACTTTGAAATGCCCTCTCGGCCTTTGATTCATGCTCAGCTGTATTGCTCTGGGAGTAATCACACTGTCTCAGTTCTCATTGACTCTGGTGCTGATGCCAACCTTTTGGACATAACTCTTGCCTCTCAGCTGGGTATTGGCCGGGAGGCTCTGGGGAAGCCTATTCATGCTACATTGCTAGATGGCCGCCTCCTCTGCATGGTCACACATCAGTCAGCGCCTCTTCAAATGACCATGTCAGGTAATCACAGCGAAACACTCACTTTTCACCTGTTTCATGCACCACAACAGCCTGTCATTCTGGGTTATCCATGGCTAAGAAGACATAATCCACACATAGACTGGGCTTCGGGAACCATACTTAAATGGAGTGGTCACTGTCAAGCTGTTTGTTTAAGATCTGCTGTACCACCTGCTCCTAGTTGGTCTGTAACCTCTGAGTTTCCAGATCTTTCCAGAGTTCCTAAAGAGTATTTGGATCTGAAGGAGGTTTTTAACAAGACCAGAGCCACGTCTTTGCCACCCCACCGCCCATACGACTGTGCGATTGACCTTCTGCCAGGTGCTTCTCCCCCTAGAGGCCGACTCTTCTCTCTATCTGGTCCGGAGACCAAAGCTATGGAGAAGTACATTAATGACTCCTTGGCTGCAGGACTCATTCGGCCATCATCTTCTCCTGCTGGAGCAGGGTTCTTCTTCGTGGGTAAGAAGGACAAAACCCTGCGACCATGCATCGACTACAGGGGACTTAATGATGTCACTGTGAAAAACAGGTACCCTCTCCCCTTAATCTCTTCTGCTTTTGAACTGCTGCAAGGTGCTACCATTTTTTCCAAACTCGACCTCCACAATGCATACCATTTGGTGAGAATCAGAGAGGGGGATGAGTGGAAGACGGCTTTTAATACTCCCAGTGGACACTACGAGTATTTAGTTATGCCATTTGGTCTCACTAATGCTCCTGCCGTCTTCCAGGCATTGGTTAATGATGTTCTCCGGGACCTGCTCAATGTTTGTGTTTTTGTGTATCTGGATGACATTCTCATCTTCTCCAAATCCAGACAGGAGCATGTGGTGCATGTACGTCAAGTCCTCCAGAGGCTGTTGGAGAATCAGCTCTTCCTGAAGGCTGAAAAGTGTGAATTTCATGTCTCAGAGGTTTCCTTTCTGGGTTTTGTCATCAACGCTGGTAAGATCCAAATGGATCCGGACAAGACCAAGGCAGTTACGGACTGGCCTACTCCTTCAACATGCAAGGAACTTCAATGCTTTCTGGGTTTTGCAAACTTCTACAGATGGTTCATTCGAAACTACAGTTCAGTGGCAGCTCACCTCACCGCTCTCACCTCCCAGAATGTGCCCTTCCGGTGGTCCTCCGCAGCTGAAGAGGCCTTTGGTGAGTTAAAGTCACGTTTCACCTCTGCTCCCATTCTCATATTCCCAGATCCTGCTCGCCAGTTTATTGTGGAAGTGGATGCATCGGACACCGGTGTGGGGGCAGTTCTTTCTCAGTGGTCTGCTGAAGATCAGAAGGTTCATCCATGTGCCTTTTTCTCCCGGAAGCTGTCTCCAGCAGAGAGGAATTACGACATAGGGAACCGGGAGCTGTTGGCAGTGAAGCTTGCTCTGGAGGAGTGGAGACACTGGTTGGAGGGGGTGGAGCAGCCATTTGTGGTTTGGATTTACCACAAAAATCTGGAGTACATTCTCTCAGCCAAGTGGCTGAACTCACGTCAAGCCAGGTGGGCCCTCTTCTTTAACCTTTTTGATTTCTCCCTTTCATACAGACCAGGCTCTAAGAACCTCAAGCCTGATGCCCTGTCTAGACAGTACCAGCCGGAAGGCTCTCCATCTGACCCTGAAGGTATCCTCCCACCTGCATGTGTCATCGGGGCGGTAACCTGGGAGGTAGAGGACAAGGTAAAACGCTCTCATGCTGAACACCCTGCTCCCAGTGCTTGTCCAGATAACCGGTTGTTTGTCCCTGCCAGTCTCCGTTCTCAGGTTCTCCAGTGGGGGCGCTCTTCTCGGCTGGCCTGCCACCCTGGGGTGAGACGCACCTTAGCACTTCTCCGATAGCGCTTCTGGTGGCCATCGATGGATAGGGATGCCAAGGAATTTGTCGCTGCTTGCCCGGTCTGCTCTCAGAATAAAAACACTCACCAAGCTCCCTCAGGCCTTCTTCATCCTCTGCTGGTTCCTCATCGCCCCTGGTCCCACATCTCACTGGATTTTGTCACAGGCCTCCCACCCTCTGACTGTAATACAGTCATACTCACTGTCATTGATCAGTTTTCCAAAGCTGCTCAACTCATTCCATTACCCAAACTACCTACTGCCAAAGAGACTGCTGAAGTTTTGTTGCATCATGTGTTCCGGTTGCATGGACTCCCCAGTGATGTGGTCTCTGACCGGGGGCCACAATTTACTTCCCTCTTTTGGTCTGAGTTTTGCAGGCTGCTGGGGGCCACAGTCAGTCTGTCATCTGGTTTCCACCCCCAATCCAACGGCCAAGTTGAGCGCATGAATCAGGAGATGGAGACTGCCCTGCGCTGCCTCACTTCCCGTAACCCCTCCTCCTGGTCCAAGCAGCTGCTATGGGTGGAGTATGCCCACAACACCCCTCCCAGTTCAGCCACCGGCCTCTCGCCTTTCCAGTGCTCCCGGGGGTACCAACCACCTCTCTTCCCAGAAAAGGAACATGAGGTCAGCGTTCCCTCAGTTCAGGCATTTGTCTGGCGCTGTTGACGCACTTGGATGCAGGCCCGTTCCAAACTCCTCCGCTCTTCCGACCGTTACCAACGGTCTGCCAACCGGCATCGCACTCCTGAACCCCGTTTCACTCCAGGGCAACGTGTCTGGTTATCCACGTGGGACCTTCCTCTCAGAGTGGAGTCCAGGAAATTGGCTCCCCGCTTTGTAGGCCCATTTCCTGTCTCTAAGGACATCAATCCTGCCGCTGTCCGTCTTCGTCTGCCCTCCTCCATGAGGATTCACCCCATCTTTCATGTCTCGAAGATCAAACTGGTCAATGAGAGCCCGCTTCAGCCCTCCTCCAGACCCCCACCACCCCCCCGGCTCATCGAGGGGGCACCTGCCTACACGGTCCATCGCCTCATCAAATCTAGACGGCGTGGTAGGGGTTTGCAGTACCTGGTGGACTGGGAGGGTTATGGTCCGGAAGAACGCTCATGGGTCCCTGCTCGCAGCATTCTGGATCCATCCCTCATCATTGACTTCCACCGGGCTCACCCTGATCAACCGGGGGGGGACGGCAGGAGCCATCCCTAGAGGTGGGGGTTCTGTCAGGAATTTCAACTCTTAGTTTGTTTTCATCTGGTTTTGTTTTTGTCTCATCACTAACTCTCCTGTCATTTCAGACCACGCCTCCATCTCAGCCCATGCAATCTGCTCATTACCTGCACCTGGTTTTCCCCGCCCATCTCTACACCTGTGGCTCATTCTCCCATTAGTCCTTCAGTATATATACCAGTCCATTTTCCCCTGCCCTTTGCCAGATTGTCTTGTGTTCCTGCCAGGCTATCCAGCATTTTTCCCTTTTACTGCCTGATCACCTGTTTTTGGACCCTGTCTGCCTGTTTTTTGGACTCTGGATTCCCTGCCTGCTCCTTGTCGGATTTGTTTGCTGGTTTGTCTGATTTCCTGTTTTTGACTCTGCCTGAACTGTTCAAGTAAAGTGAACTTTGCCTGCAACTCTATTGCCTCATTGTTGTGCATTTGGGTTCAAATCTGTACTGGTGATTCTCACAATTTGACCGAAACGTTGACCGAATAATGTGATTTTTGCATTGAAAAAGTCAGAAATCATACTTTTTTGGACTCCGATTTAGGATTGTACAGCATCAGTGCTGTTATGAAAGTGTGCATAATGTTCATTTGTTAAGCTTTAATAGATATTCAATATTAATATATTAATAATTAATTATTCAATACTTAAAGCTACATTAAGCAATATTGAATGCATTTTGTTGAAGTAAAATGACGCCTTTCAGTCATCACTGTGGGTCTTCTTTCCCCCATACAATTTACAGCCACCCAGAATTTATTTCTCTATCCATTTATTTTCTTTACCACTTATCCACTAGAAGGTTGCGGTGGAGCTGAAGCCAATCTCAGCTGACATTGGGCGAGTGGTGGGGTTCACCCTAGATTGGTCGCTAGTATCAACAGTTCAGTGACAGAAAGAGTTCATTCAAAGCAGCTTCCCTAATCCCTTGTGTCTGAAAGTCTACAGTTGCACCACAAATTGGAGCTCAGAGACTAAATAATCCAAGTAGTCCAACAGTAGCCTTGTGGGTGAAATGTATTCCTCATTTGCATCCCATAAAAATATATTTCAACTGTTCATAGTTTGAGCTCTCATATCCCTTCTAGTGATCAGAATTGTGTGGCTTTGAGAACTTAATTTGTTAACTTTGTATCAAAGGTGCTGTTTCACTGCCTTTAAATGCCAGGTTAGTTATCACTCTGTTTTGTTAAAGGAAAACTCATTTTCCAACAGATGCATCTTCAAAATCAACCCAGATCAAGGGACCAAAGTGAAGAGAAAAGAAAAGGGACGCCAGTATGCGGTCAACCCAAGGGTGCTGAGCCTCATCTCCAAAATTGCCAATTTTGAATGGACAGAGTAACAGGGTAAGTTCACTCCCTCACCAAACAAACACAATCATCAGTCAAGTAATAAATTCATATATCATTCAGTCTAGGGGTGTAACTATCCACTCAATACACGATTTGATACACAATACAATGTACACAATTCGATATTCTCACAATACATGGAACTAAACTGGAAGGAAGAAAACATGACTGAAAAAGAAATACTTTAAAGGGTGCATAACAATGCATTTTCATTGTATTTCCATTTCCTATGAAACTGTGAACAAAATGTATCATGGTAACATTTTATAGCCTAATCATCTCATCATAAATGGAAATTAAGTTTTACTGAGTGACATTCTTGGGGCAGTTTTGTTAGGTACAATTAGATATAATTAAGGTATAATAATGATTAGATATAATCAATGTCCCCCCAAAAAAATTTTAAATCCTCCACACTGCTCATCTGTAACACCAAAGGTCCCGAAGCCACACCATGCAAAGTTTACTTGAAACGATGTAATTTACTGCATTTTTATTGCCAAAATACTCCTTACGCCACCTAGCTTGCAAGAGCTGACCATCTGTACTGCCTGCCGCTCGCTCCTGGAAGCTGCGTGAGACGAGATCTTCTTGTTTATGGTGATGATGATGATGGTGTGCGTGTGTGCAAGCTAGGCAGCGTAAGGTGAATATTTTGGCAATAAAAATGCCGTAAATAACTTTGTTTAAGTAAACTCTGCATGGCGTGGCTTCGGGACTCTTGGACTGTTGATGAGCAGTGTGGATGATTTTAAGTCTTTTTTGGGACACTTATCAGGTCATTGGTCTCCAATATACTTCTGTTGTTTGGAAAAATTATTCAAGCTGTGATACTCCACATGATACTCCAGCGATGTTTTGAGGATTAAAAAACTATTTCTCATCAGCTTGATGGTGAGTAAATGATTAACTTTTCATTTAAAGTGAACTATTCTTTTAAGATTAGATGGAAGTGAATGATTACCTGTAGGGCGCCCTATAGCAGTGTTTCTGCTAGAAAAAATTGCCACCGGACAACGTGACCGGCAAGTTTTCAATTTACCAGACAAATGTTTGAAATTCCGGTCAAATATTATCTGAATTTATTGAGCTTAAAATGATAAATGATATGCAGGCTATATAAGAATGATATCAAGGTATTTCAATTCTTTTTTATTGAAAAGTAGGCTATATCAAATAAAATGAGCGCCGCTAATTGACTGTGTAATTTCTAAAATAAATAAATAAATATAGCACAAGCCTGAAGCTCTTTTAACATGAACATAAAGAAACTGAAAGCCTACCTATTCTCAGATAAAACAATTTGCAAACAAAAAACAAATCTGGACTGACTCATACCATTTTAATAATGTGGTGTGCTGCCAACTTGAAATCAAATAATGTCCGTTAGCTATATACGTTTGAAATAAAGATGGAACAAAAACTATGAAAACAACCTGAAAAAATCCCTTAACCTGTTTCTGGCTCATGACATTATACTTTTTACACATTTTCACTGCAGTGAAGTGTGCAGCAGCTGAATTAAAATCAAAAGTGTCAAGTGTCTCTCCGCAACTTGCAACTTGTGACTTTGTTCTCCTGAATGTAGCCTACTTGCCAACTGTGTAATACGGACAGTCAGTGAACAACAAACAACAGCAAAGTCACTATATAAACTAAATAATATCTTGGAAACAAATCTAAACTGTCAATAAAATAAATATTTCTGATATCATTGCTCCTGTCCTGCTGTCACTGCCTGCAGGTACAGAGAGGGGAGCAGCTGCTGTGGTCATGTCGCTGTTTATGCTGAAATATGATGCACGTTTATCTCGGCCAAGCCGGTTATGTTTTTTGACGGTTTTATTGCAGGACAAAGCAACACTGGTGCAGAGTGCCATGGGAGCTGAAAAAAGAATAAAAAGAGACCAGCTACACTTTGATGTGCAGCGTCAAAGTTTGTAGAGACAAGTGTCGAGCGTCCGTATCAGTTCATGTTCAGCTCTATTAAAAATAACTTGTAGCCTCTACCTTTGACAGTAACGCGTGTCGTCCACAATTAAAACTGCTTAGAAGGAATATTTACACCAGACATTTTGACCGGTGAGGTTAAAAAATACCAGACTTCGGCAGATTTTACCAGTCAAAGTCTGGTAATTTCCAGATTACGGAAACCCAGGAAAGTACCATGTTATTGATAAAGTTCATGGAAAAAAGGAAACCTTTATCCAAGCAGGATTAAAATTAAACAATTTCACAGTTGACTGTATGCTCTGTTTCAGACACCAGTACGATCCAATGGCTGGCCCAGGACATGAGCTTGAAGTCAGTGACATAACAGCAGACCGGGACATGAAGAATCTGTGTAGCAAAAAGCGCTGTACTTTTACAGTCATATAAACAAAGGAAACTTGCCAGCTACTCTTCTTTTTTTTCTACCAAAGTTTATTCTATTGTTAAATTTAGCAAATTGTTTCACATTAAAGTAGTACAGACATTGAGCTCAGCATGTTAGTTAATTCATATAAGTATGGTAGTCATATTCAGAGGTTTGTTTATTGTATGTAAGTTGATTTAATAATGACATTTGATATTTGCACTTAGCTCGTCAGTGGTGTGGTGCTTGTGTCACACAAACCCCATATCTGCACCAAACCAAGTCAGGTCCGCCTCAGCACTTTACCAGCAATCAAACTTTGTGAAAAGCTGTTTAGTAAGTGCTTGACAAGCCTGTTCGTATTTAGTTTTTGTCTTTGACGTCCTGACTTTTCCATAGTTTGTATTCACATAGTTTTATTAGATAATACAATTCCATAAACCTCAACTGCATAATGATAAACATAACGAAGGTTATAAAAATGTTCTTGAATATAAAAGTGAAGTTTTGGTGATTGTGAACAATCTTTTTGCCCTGACAATCACCTCCTGTTTGGACTCTGTTTTGTTTTTGCAACATGTTTTTTTTTTACATATTGTCATATATGTATGCAGAGTTTTATCACTTAACCAATTTGTAAATTGCTTTTTTTGGAGTAATAAAGGCTCACAGAAAAGTTGTAAGTGAGATATTTGGCATTTGTCTATTTAATATTGCAGTAACCTTTTATTTTCAGTAAATCATCTATGGAGAAGCAGACATATTAATGTACAATTAATAGCATGAAAAATACTACTTAAGTAAAAGTACATTAGCAGCAAAATGTAGTTAATGTATTAACGCAAAAAGAAGTGACTGATATATTATTATATATGACATCATTGGATTATTAATACTGAAGCATCAATGTTAGAGCAGCATGTTACTGTTGTAGCTGCTGGAGGTGGAGCTAGTTTACACTGCTTTATATACAGTTAGCTAGTTTAGTCCAGTGGTTCCCAACCTATGGGTCGGGCCCCTCCAAAGGGTCACAGATACATCTGAGAGGTTAGGAGTTGATTAATGGGAGAGGAAAGTAGACAAAATACATATTTTTGATACACAAATGTCTGGACTTTTACTCTAATCTATGTTTTTTGGTGAAATATTGGATCATTTGAACATTAATTGAAATGAAACCATGTGAGAAGTTTAGAGGGAAAAATCACTATTTGGTGGAGCTTAACAACTCATAGACATTTGATATGTGACCCCGTCTACATTCTGCTTTTTGTAAGACGTCAAAAGACAAAAAGGTTGGAAACCACAGTTTTCATCTTTAACTAGATTCATTAGCATGTATGTATTTTTACTCAATATGACATCACTGATTGACCGGCCAGGGTTGCAACATGCCTGAAAGTGTCAACCTCAAGAGCATAGTAACTTTGGGTATACACTTGAGGTTCGTTCCTTCTCTCCTGCTCCTCTCGCTGCTTGTGTGTGTATTAGGAAGGCAGTCTTGCTAGGCAGAAACTAACAGAGGATTAAAACGCTATTTTCTGATTTTTTTCACACACATAAACACACATCCTGCCCAAAGGGCGCTGCCCAGAAGGAGCCCAGCCACACACCAAAACAATGAGAAAATGCAGATAAACAGACCACCACACTCCTCTATTGGGTCATAAGTGATGATTGAGAGGAATTATATTTGTATAAGTCTATATGTTTTATTTTGAAAATCCTGCATACTCTACCTTTATTTACATCATGTTTGATGTAATGAAAAAAGTTTGTAAATTTTGTATCTGGAATTACAGAGTACACATAAATATAAAACTAATGAAATTTTCCTTAAAATTACAGAGCAAAACATAAAATTGTTAGTGTGGACATAAACCTTTATATAATGAGCTACATGTTTAATTACAGAAATTGAATGTAAAAGTACATATAAATATAAAACTAAGATTTACTGTTAATTTACAGAGAAAAACATTAGATTGTTAGTATGGAAATAAACCTTAATATAACGAGCTACATGTTTAAGTAGACATTGAATGTAAAAGTACATATAAATATAAAATTAATAAGATTTACCATTAATTTACAGAGAAAAACATTAGATTGTTAGTATGGAAATAAACCTTAATATAACGAGCTACATGTTTAATTACAGAGATTGAATGTAAAAGTACATACAAATATAAAACTAAGATTTACCGTTAATTTACAGGGAAAAACATTAGATTGTTAGTACAGAAATAAACCTTAATATAATGTGCTACATGTTTAATTACAGAGATTGAATGTAAAAGTACATAAAAATATAAAACTAAGATTTACCGTTAATTTACAGAGAAAAACATTAGATTGTTAGTATAGAAATAAACCTTAATATAACATGCTACATGTTTAATTACAGACATTGAAAATAAAAGTACATATAAATGTAAAACCAATAAGATTTACTGTTAAATTACAGAGAAAAACATTAGATTGTTAGTATAGAAAAAAACCTTAATATAATGAGCTACATGTTTAATTACAGAGATTAAATGTAAAAGTACATATGAATATAAAAAAAAATAAGATTTACCGTTACTTTACAGAGAAAAACTTTAGATTGTTAGTATGGAAATAAACCTTAATATAATGTGCTACATGTTTAATTACAGACAATTATTGTCATTTTACATAAATTTGACTGTAATTTAAGAAAGCAGAAAGATGATGTATAATTAATACAGTCATTTTTTCATAAAAAAAAATGAAAACATAGTTTGTCATTACTGGCATAATACTTTTAAAAAACAGGAGGGTTGTTAATTTGCAGATAATGTCTGTAATTTTACAGTTTTGTATACTATTTTTAAAAAACAGAAAACTACTGTAAAAATTTAAAGTTATTTACCGTAAAATTAAGATTTTTTTTTTTTTTTACAGTGTTCAATAGCTCCATATGAAAGTCTTGATTTCTCCTCTGACATGATGTCACAGAAATATGATGTGATTTGACGTCAATATATTCATAAATGAGCAAGTTATTGAAATCACATCATTGAAATTTCCATATGGATATAGGTTTAAGGCCATAATTTATTTGTTCATCATGTTTTTATTACTAGTCTGAATCTGCAGTTTAACTAGTATTTACATGTATGAAATAAATGTAGGAGAGTGAGAAGTGTGTGCTGTGTGTCTGCTACATGATTATAGGAATGATGTGACTTGTGGATTTCTTTGAGATATCACTGACTCTTCCATCCCTTTCTTTCTTCCCATCTTGCCATCAGCACCCTAGCCTCATCTCTCACCTCCTACCTGTCACCATCACTGGACCAGGCAGGTGACGATAACAAGAGATGACACTAATGTTTTTTTTCATTAACAGCTACGAGAGGGCACACTTACAATACAGCCGCCATTTTGGACTGAATGTTGCCCCAATCAATATCAAAGTAAAAGCATACTGAACATTAAATATGTCAGCCATGAATAAACACAAGCAGTGTGTCTCAATAAAGTGCTCCAATTATCAGAGAAGTGTATCCATAGTTTGCAGAAACAAATAGTGCAATCATGTTTTCTGACAGTCGTGTTGAAAACAACGCGTTATTTCAATTTCTTAGATCAGAATTTTACGGAAGCATATTGCATTCACTACATAAAAAAAAATTAAACCTTATCTCATAATTACAAGGAAAGATCTCATAATTACTTGAAAAGATCTCGTAATTATGAGATCATAATCTCATGATTTTAGAGGACATCTCCAAGGGGCTGGGGCTGTGAATATTGAGTTGCTAAAAATAGCACGTGCACACACCACACAAGCATCCTGCTACATGCAGACTGACTCATTACACTGTACAGCACATGTATCTGAAGGACCAGATAAAAGTTTACAGAAGTCTGGTTTAAAGAGTATCAGGAAGTAGATAGACTGTGTTTACAACATGTTCGCTGGAGAAAGGAGGCTGCTGCTGTGTTTGTATCTCTGGATGGCAATGGAAGGACTTGGGAATGTGTATCCTCACTCAGATGCAGCTGACTGACTTCAGTCCCGTGAATTGGAATCCCAGCACGCTGTACAGTAAAAGGGGTGATGTATATAAAACAGTATATGCATTGACTGCCTTAGTTCAGAGAACAGTTGAGCTCGTTCCTAACACATGAACATCACACATCATGATGAATCAATGAACAGCTGTCAACATGGCTGAATTATCCAAGGTACCGTCTGAATTATCGTTGACTCATCAGTATGATGTCAGCCTGATGAACGACTTGGCCAATTGGAAAATTTGTTTGGGAGATCACCCTGAACTGGAACAGGTCCAATTAGGCATTCTCTTGGTATACTGTCTGAAGAGGTACAAATGAGGGGTCAGCAATGGAACCCAGATCCTCCGGATCCTGGCACTCATGCCAGGATGGTGGATGGTGTGGCCTCAGAGTCTCTGTGTTCTTCTTATTCCTCCTTGCAGTAATTATAGTGTTTCCTATCATTTTTAGACATGACACAACACTACCACCTCAACACAGAATACACCAAACAAATCTAAGCACGTTACACATTACTTAGGAAAAAAAGTAATCCCTTACTTTACTTGATTATTCCATGGAGAAAGTAATTAGTTACAATACTTGTTACATTACTAGTTACTCTGTAAAATTGCCTGAAATGCATTGTCACGTAATTTGCCAATTAACAATATAGCATTAAACCTTAATCCTAAGGTAGGTATAGTTAAAGGGATAGTGCACCCAAAAATGAAAATTCAGCCATTATCTACTCACCCTCATGCCGAGGGAGGCTCTGGTGAAGTTTTAGAGTCCTCACAACACTTGTGGTGATCCGAGGGAGGAGTGGGTAGCAGCACAACTGCACATCTAATGGCTGACGGCGCCCCAGATTAAAACGTCCAAGAACACCTAATTGAAACCACAAAATATCTCCATACTGCTCTTCTGTAGTGATCCAAGTGTCCTGAAGCCCCAACATAAAAAGTTGTTTGGAAAAATGTCATTTGAACTCTGTTTTTAGCCTCATTGTAGCCTGCAGCTCTAACTGCCTCTCTGTACACTGCACTGACGTGTGTGCTGTCCTAGTCT